GCACAAAAACAAGGTGTCTTTCTGTACAACATGTTGAGAGCACCGATTCTTCACCATATACTCAACTTATCCTGAAAACACCCACCCCTGAGAGTCCTTACCAGTACCTGCCTCCAAGGTGCCAGGAGTCCTCTACAATCTCCCAAGCTGAGTTTTAGCTTCCAAACTCCTCTAGTGTGATCTGACAGACACCATATCCTAACACTACTGTCTACGCTTACTAAAACAAACCTATCCTTTACTACAATTTTAAACCAGAACTTGTTTTTTCAATGAAACAACTCTTAATTTCATACTTGTCATACAACTTTTTTCTTTTTTATTTAAAATATTATAACCAATTGACATACTAGATAACATTGTTTACATTGCAGTGGTATGTGTTTAATGACCTATGGTATGGATGATTAAAACCACAATAATCATCTCAGCATTCCCCACAAAGTGCCACATTTGTTTTTGTCTATGGGAGAGGGACCGTAGGACTAGAACACAGAGAGCAATGACGGGATGGGGTTATGTGGGTAGAAAAGCAAATGTGATTTAAAATTCTGAAATTGTGAGATTTTAGACCCACCCCCTGGTAATAGGATAATCTGCTATGAGAAAATAGAGGTCACATTCCAGGTACATAGCTCATTTGCTCAACTTTACTGTTAGGCTAAAAGATTAAAAGCTTCCCAAAAATATACCAAATATTGGGCCTACAAAAGTAATTCATCTGTTCGTAAAATTTACTAAGATTTATTCCTTTTGTAAAATGTAAAGAATGGACTGATACTACTAGGTCTTTACTTACAAAAACAGACAATAATCAAGTCACCAATCACATCTAACACAACTTTCCAGGAAATACAAAGAAAGAATTTACATGTGAATGCTTCTTACTTATGCAAATTATACATTTTACATACTTACTGGTATCATCTCAACATTGGCCATAAAGGAATTAGAAAAACACACAGTTCACATTCAGCAAAGGTCTCATAGTAAGGGCAACAGTTTACTCAGGAAAGCATAGAAAATTAGTGTGAGGTAGTTCAATAAAAACCTAGTTTAATTTGTAAGCCATTGTGAAAGTGGAAACATTGTGCAAAGCTAATCCACAGGTCTACTTATCACAAGTTTCAGTAAATGGAGAGAAAATCATACCAGAAATTATCAGTAAAGTGTTACTCTTACTAGCCTCTCCTTAAGAGCACTTAACTAAGAGCAATTAAGTGAACCAGAACAGTTTTAAGTAATTTTTTTTCTCATGAGGTTTCTGATCTTACCCCATACTATACATCTCTGCTTCAATGCCCTTCAATTCTTCAACTTGCTGTTATTAAGTGAAAAAACAAAGACAAAAACAAACAAAAAAAAGGCTTATTCTGAAAATCTCAGTAGAAAAAAAAAGCTTCTAAAGATCAAACATAAAACACAGCATATGCTAAAACAGAAAAGGGTTTCTATAGGCAGCACCCAAAGAGTTACTAAATGACAAAAGAAATATGGTATTTTAATCCTTCCACTACTTGTAGAAGCTTAAACAGGGGTTTGTGGGGCTTCATGCAACCACTATCTAATGCGTCACTAAAGAACAATACACATGAACAAACTACAGTAGCATTCTTGAAAATGGACTATATATGATTTAGTTCAAAATGGAATACAAGTGTGTGTCTAGGCAACACTGAGTAGTTGTCTTCATATGTATAGCAGAAACTGGCCTATAAGGTGAACCAAGTTATTTGGTAACCCAGGAAATTGCTTCATTTGTCTGATGATATCCACTTCAAAAGTCATGTCTTTTCTAGCTTCATCTTTTTAGACAATATTGCAGGATCAGGAGAATCAGACACAAAAGAAAATAAATAGATTTAAGTAAGGCTTCTATCATTACAATCAAATTTCATGGTATTTTGAGAGGTTTGATATAGTAGTATTTCTCCTTAAAGAGCTTTCAGTTTCTTCTAGAAAGCCTGGAGAGGATGTACTGTGCCTTTCCTAACTTGGTATAGCAAATGTCAAAAACAGCAAGAATGATTGAGATTATGTGGTAATATAAAATAAGATTTCTAAAATGAATGAAATATGATTGGCATGGGTATGTGATCTAAATTAACAGATACAATACAATTAACAACAATACAATAATTTAAAAATTAATGCTTAACACAAACTAGAGTGCGAAGAGAACAGCACACGGAAGAGGAACACTGGGAGATACCGTTCCCTCAGCTTACAAATACAACTAAATCTTGACTAACATCAGTAATTCATAGTGTAAGCTGATAGGTATATTTTAAGCTCCTCCTGGAAAAAAACATCAAAATTATAAAATATGCAAGCTTGCTTTACATAAATAGCAGTGGATGGCAATCTTGTTTGTGACTTCCATTTAAAAAAAAAAAGTATATATACTTAGTTAAAATACCTTAAGGACCAGAACAATTTCTTTAAAAAAAAAATAAAAAGGAACCCGTGCATAGACACCCTTAGTATTATAAATGTAAATATAGTTAAGTAATGCTTAGAAGTTGTGCCCTGTGAATCCAGGGCATACACAACACTTCACCAACCTAATCCTTATGATCAGCACACAGGTTGGTGAATATTTTAGATCACTTTAGGGAGAGTTCTTACTTAGTGAACTCAGCTGACAAATGCTGGTTTTTCAAGTGGTGGCTGGCACTTTTAACAAGTTATTGATAGCAAGAACATTTGGTTTTCCTTGCCAGAATTTGGGTCAATGGGAAACAAAATAAAAACACAACAGAACAAAACAAAAATTTGCTGGTAGGAGGTAAGGATTTACTTTGTTAACTCTTCTACTCTGATGGCCCATCATCAATAAAACAAAACACTATGAAATTCTACAGGCAGATAAATCTATAAAGTACATAATTTAAAGTGCAACAGTGACCTAACCTATTAAATGAAGAAAATGAAGATACTGGTAAACTAACTTGTCAAAGTCTAAAGAACACAATTACATGAAAATCTCTAAGATTGTGATTTTCAGTCGTTTTTGCGATTTAAGAGGTGTCTCATAATCTCAAAATTAAATTAATTTCAACTAATTTTAATTATAAAACAAAACAGCCATGTTGCACCACTGAAGAGAGTGCCAAGAAATAAAATGACAGTTGGTATTGCAATTCCAAGAATGGCAGGAATCATTGCTTTTAATGCATCAACAATAATTCTATCTTTTAAAATATACTAAAAAGCTAAATTAAAGCTATATTTAAATACTGAGTATTAACAATGATCTAAAAGATCTTACTCAAAAGTTTATTCCCCCAAAATAAATACATGAACAAACATCTAGTGAACTTCAAGAAACTGAAAATTAAGCTCCTTCCCTAATTCTGGTCATTAGTCCTCCTGGGCTTCTGCCTAGGAATCTGCTTTAAAAAAAAAAAAAAAAAAAAAAAAAAAAAAAAAAAAACCTAAACAAGAAGAAAAACTTAGATGTTTGTCTTCCTACCTCACTTCACTACACAAATCCCTTTTCCTTCAGAAAGTGATTGAAAGGGCCAAAGTTTATTACTGAAAATGTGCATTTTTTTTGAAATGAGATTTCAATGATTGCTTTACCTAAGAAAAAGTTCAGTTCTAGATAAATCATTTCGCAAATATAAAATGTAAACAATTAACATATATTTGTCAGGAGCAGCACCATTTTACACTACTTAGCAACTGTATTAGCTGTTTTATTGAAAATTAAGTATCAAAACTAAAAACTCAGGCTAAAGAAGAAACCACCATTTATTCCTCCTCTGCTCATTTGAAGGAGCAGGCCTTAGAAAAAGATATTCTATATATGGCTATGCAGTACTATTTGAAGATGAACAGTATTGCTCATATGATACATTACCTACAGATTTCTAAGTAGGTTCTGGGACATCCCGACAGCTAGCAGTTAATATGAATATGCTACATCTAATTGAAGAGAAACAACTGGACAGGAAACAAGTTTCCCCTCTTCCCTCCCCTAGCAAGAATAGGTGTTCAGCTGACTCTGATACCAAGTAATAGGAAATCAGAAATGGTCAGGAGTCAAGGCTACATGAAAATGAAATATATTTAGAGGGACTCTGGGCATCTGTGTCCTGTAAAGATAGATTAGCTTTTGTGTGTACAAAAACAGGCTAATAGCTAGTAGAAGTAAACCATACGTTTATTTGCATTGAAATGTATTATTCATGAAGTATCCTCTTGACTTGATGTGATCATAAGCTTTTAGCATGCCATAATTTTGCAGAATACACCATATCTTTTTGTTTTTCTTCTGGGGGCAGGCTGAATAAATGGCATCTTAGAAAGACATGCTTTGCATTATTCTGCCATTCAGATGAAGTGACTTTGACAAGGAATTACATAGGGCTTCCTCCTAATTGTTTTGATTAAATTAAGATGGGCAAATAGCAAGAATTGGAGGTTTAACTCAATCATTTACAGTAGTTATACCTGAATATAACTGGCTACAGAGATATATCTTACCTCTTTCCCAGGGAATAAACTAATGACAAGCACATAACCCTGAAGGATATTGTCATGAACAAAACATCTGGAATAAATTCTAATAAAAAAAAAAAAACACTACAAAATCTTAAATAATTCATGATATAGGCAAGTCACCACATAATAGTTGCTTTGATAAAACAAAGCTTACAAATTCAGTCAAAAATGAATCAGCAGCATAAGGTAAAGCAAATAGGCAAAAATTTTAAACCATGATAAAATTATTAGGTTTACATTATACAGATAATTACAGCAAAAAAACAAACAAAAAAAAAACCACAATACATTTTGTGGCTGTTTCAAAAACAACTTACAGTTTTAAATTACAGCACTTGATATTTCTTAAAAAATGAATCCTACATTTTTGGGGAACAAAACAAAACACTCAAAAATTAGACCACTGAATTGTTTTCAAAGTAGTTCTATCAATACCTAAATGAATTCCCTTCCCTCCTGCAATCCCCCCTCCCTCTACCCTCCCACCCCTGACCAAATAGTCATCTACAGCAGCCCAGAGGTCCAGCTGATGTTTCTAGACTGCTGTCTGTATCAGAGGCCAATGTTGGATCTGTTGACATGGAAGACACATCATTGACAGACGACGATGAAGATGGATGTTGAGAGCCACTAATCACTGCTGCACCTGTGCTATGAGAAACAAAACAGCAAATCAGTTGCAGATACAGTTGCACATAGAGTTGCTTGCACTGCACTGTCCCCAAGCAATGGCTACCAGTTTCTCCTAAGCTAAATAAGACCCAATACTAAACAGTGTGACAATTTTTCATGGTGATAAAATAATTACATGGCCAAGTCACATTTAAAAATGTCGACAGGCAAACAAAGCACTTGAGAGTGATGGGAATCTTTCAGTTTAAATGGAAAATTCCACTTGATGCTTCAGCATGTTTTGTTTAGTTGTTTTTCAGTCGTGTCTGACTCTTCACGACCCCTTTTGGGGTTTTCTTGGCAAAGATACTGGAGTTGTTTGTCTTTTCTTCTTCCAGCTCAGCTCATTTTACAAATAAGAAATTAAGGCAAACAGACCCTGCCCAGGGTCACACAGCTAGTAAAGTATCTGAGGTTACATATGAACTCAGTATTCTTCCTGACACCAGGCCTTGCACTCTGTCCATGGAGTCACCTAGCTGCCTACTCAATCGGGTGCGTTTACACTCATCAAAAGACAATACATGCAAATCTGGATTTATAAAACACAGAAAATGGGGATCATTATTGCCTTTTTAAAAAGAAACCCCTCAATAAGGGGTTTCATTAGTACATTTAGAATAGTATTCTATTTACATGCAATTCTTTAGGAACAAACCTACTGCATAAAACGAGGCACACATTACATTGCAGCACCATGCTTCTACTAAATAAACATAACCCATCTTGGAACTGTATGAGGGTTTTCAGTAAAGGTTTCCATTAAAGATACTTCAAAATGGAAGCAAGAGGCACTCCAAGCTGAACGCAAAGGGAATTTAATTTAGATTACTGAAGTCTTTAATGAAAAGAATAACATCTTCAAGTACATCAAGGTATTGTAGAATATGGTAAAACAGACCAATCTGGCTACACTAAAAGTTTCATCATAATTACAAATCCTAACCATACAGTAAAAGCTTCCCACCACAAAAGACTACCTAATAAATCAGATATTCTTCATGTAGTTATACATAAAGATAATAAAAAAGGTCGCACAAAATCTAATCTCCAGTGTTTCTGATTGCAGGCCTCTTTCTTTCAATTCTGTTTTATCTTAATTTGTCTTCTTTCTGGAAAGCATACAACTTAAAAAATGCTTAAGGCTGCTAAAATATTTAGTATTCAATGTTTAGTAGGGAAAAAAAAAATTTTGTTCTTCCAATGAAAACATGGATCATTATGCAGTATAAGAAAACAACTTTACTTAGCATGATTAAAAATGATGCAATTCCTAAAGAATACTCCCTCCCTCCAATTCAGCATTTACCAGGTCTTCTTGGCATGGGGAATTCTGCTAAAACTTTGTACATTAAACTACCCATAACGTGGGTGGTTTACGCTTTGGGCAGCAAGAAAGCAAACTGATCATGCTCTAGAGAATGGTCCTCCTTGCACCTCACTCCTACCCCCACCTCCCCCCACCCCTAGGTTACATAAAACAGGTGCCATTTCTACTACAATTAGATGACAAACTGTTCGTCTCATATTGGCCTCTTATTTCTACCAATATGTATACCTAGGCCAGCAAATACGTGGGCATGAAACTCTATTTGCTGCTAGGCAAATCAAAGCACAGCTAGAGTGGTAAATATGCTGAAAAAATAGAACTTATTTAATCTAAAACGAAAAGCTTTGAATTGTCTATCCCGTTTGACTCATCTTCTGGAGGGCAATCCGTTCTTGCTGCTCTATTTTCCGACATTTCACTCATTCTGAACTGTTCTCTCCAAACTTACCAATAGTCCAATATTCTTTCCTTAGTCATCTTCTTGCAATGTTTGAGCCTGGGAACCACTCCCTCCCCTCCTGGGGGCTCTCTCCTCCTTCAGCTTTCAGGACAATGCTCTCTGTGGGTTCTCCTACTTGTCAGTCTCCCATCTCTCCCTCCCCTTCACCACCTGAAAGTCTCCCAAAGCCCAGTCTGCCTTGGGGCCTCTTCTCTCTTTCTATGACTTCTCTTGGTGACCTGATCAGCTTTCAGGGCTTTGAATATCATCTCTAAGCAAATAATACACATATACATTTTACTCTAGCCTTTACCTCTTTCCCAAGTCTCCAGTCCCATTTCATCAACTTACCTGCTGGACATCTCTACTTAGATAACCCACAGGCATCTCACACTGCACATGGCCAAAAAGAAATTAATAATTTTACAGTGTGGTACAGTGGACAGAATCTGAAGACCTGTGTTTGAATCCTAGTTCTGTCACTTACCACTTGAATAATTATGATCCAAATATTTAAACCTCTCTGGGGCTTCAGTTTCCTCAATTATAAAATGAGTTGATAGGACTAAAGGGCCTGTAATGTTTCTTCTATTTCTAATCTTTGATTTTCTTATTTCCTCCACACTTCCTTACATTTCTGACATGTACTTTAGTCACCAAGGTTCACAGCCTTTGAGTATTCTCAACTTTTCCCTCTCCCTCACCTTGATATGCAATCAGTTAATAAAACACGCTGATTTCAATGCTAAAATATCTATCACATTCCCCCTTCATTTCACTTATTTTAGAGCTGAGGGAACTGCAGAACTTATCTAGTACAACCTGGTTTTACAGATGAAACAAGGTGAAGGGCAGAGAAGCTACCTGACTTGCTCAGGGCCACTCTAGGGAGTAAGAAGCAGAAGGATAATTTAAACCAACATTGTTTTGACTCCAAAGTGAGGCAACATGGTACAGTGGGAAAAAAAATCACTATTGGAGTCAAAACAACGGAGGTTGAAGGGCTTTATCACAACAGCCTAACTAGTTTCTTTGTTTCTAGTCTCTCTTCTTTCCAAATGCATTCTCCACTCAGATGTCAAAATAATCTTCCTAAGCCACATGTGTGACTAGATTAGTTAGTTGGTTAAAAAGTTTTCAGGGGCTCCTTATTGTTGCCTGGATAAAATGAAAGCTCCTCATCTATTGTTCATAACACAATGACAAAACCTTCCTAAGATACTGCTCTAGTCACATCAGGGTCGATAGAATAAAGTATAAACCCCCAGGCCTGGAGTGAAGGTCATTTTTTTCCAGATTTAGCTTGCAGCACTCCCTTCACACATTTATTGTTTCAGTCCTAAGGGCTTCCCCTCCCTCCCATTCCTGATCAGCCCACTTTCCTCTTCATGACCATGCTTGTATTCTCCCCAAGGAATGGACTTGTGCTTCCCCATCCTCACATCCCTCTCTTCAAGGCTGAACTCAAAGAGAGCCTCCACTGACCCCCTGAGCTAAGTAGGAAGGTACTCTTCCCTTGTGCAGGATTATTGGTGAACAGGCCTTTCTCCTCATCAGATCATATCCTCATGTGTCTTTGTATCCTCTAAGGTTGAGCATGATGCCTTACACATAGTAGGTGCCTAGAGAATTTTTGGTGGGTTGAATTAAACAGCTGAATATAGGGGAAGGGCATTCTGGGCGTGGGGGGACAGTGTCTGTAAAAGCGCAGATGTAGAAAAGCAGGTATTTCAGTTTGACTAGAATATCATGTACATGGAAGGAGAGAGTACAACATAATGCTAGAAGCATCCTACATCTAGACTGTAGGGGTTCTGGGATGTCAGGCTAAGGCATAGAAATTCTATGTAGTAAGTAACTTAGTAACTATTAAAGAATTGTGAGTAGAAAAGTACTATGAAAAGATTTATACTTAAGATTAACTTGGTAGAGGTGTGAAGGATGATTTTGGAGAAAGAAAGTTGAGATAGGAAGCCCTTACTGGAGTTAATTACAATAGTCCAGGCCTGGGGTAATGAGGATCTGTGCCAAGGTGATTGCACAAGGAATAATGGGACTCTGGGTTGTCAAGATGACCACAGTTTAACTAGTCCAACCCTTATCCAAGCAGTAATCTCCTCTATAACATCCCCAACAAATGGTCAATTACCCTCTAGTGGAAGAGGAATGATGAGGAAGTTACTACATAGCCCAAAATGGCCCATTCTATGTTTGGCTAGCTCTTATTGTTGGGATTTTTTTCTTTATATTAAGAGTTAACCTTTCTCTTAGCCATGTTTACTCATTACACCTACTTCTGCTCTTTTTGAAAAAGACAGACGAGCAGCAGTAAGTCCTGCTCTCTCAAACAATGTCATTTCAGATGCTCACAAAGAGTAAGGAGCCTACATGTACTAAGGAAGTGTTCCAGTGCTAAAAGCTAGCCTGGGAGTGCAATCATCTATAGAAAGACTATTCCCAATAGACAAATGTTGAAGGGGAGGGGTGGTTTCCAAGAAAACAGGCACACTGTTGGTAGAGCTATGAACTGGTTCAGTTATTCTGAAAAGCAATTTGGAACTATGCCCCTCAATCAATCAATCAACATTTATTAAATGCCTATTACGTGCCAGGTTTTGTGCTAAGGGCTGGGGATACAAAAAGAGTCAAAAGACAGTCTCTGACCTACAGGAGTTCACCAGAATCTAATGTGGGAGACAATGTGCAAACAAATACATACAAACAAGCTATACACAGGACAAAGGAAAAAGTAACTTAAGAAGGGATGGCACTAGGATTAAGAGGGGTTGGGAAAGATTTCTTGTAAAACATGAGATTTTAATGGGACTTAAAGGAAGCCAGCAAAGTCAGTAGGAAGAATTGAAGACGAGAGCATCTCAGGTATAGAGGACAGCCAGAGAAAATGTCTGGAGCTTCAAGATGGTGTGTCTTGTTCATGGAGTAGACAGTGTCATTGGATCAAAGAGTACATGGTGGACAGTAAGGTATAAAAAGACCAGAAAGTAGGAGGGTGGGGAAATGGGGAGGGTGAGATTATAAAGGGCTATGAATGCCAAATAGGGAATTTTGTACTTGATCCCAAAGACAATAAGGAATCACTGCTGATTATTAAGTGGGAGTGGGGTGAGATTGTATGAAATGGTTGGATCTCTGCTTTAGGAAAATTACATTCGTGGCTGAATGGAGAATGTATTGGGGCGGGGAGAGATGTGACACAGGCAGACGCACCAGCAGGTTACTGCAATCATTTAGGCATGAGATGATAAAGGCCTGCAGTGTCAGAGGTGAAAAGGGGATGTATTCAAGAAATGTTGCAAAGGTAAAATCAACAGGCCTTGGAAACAGAGTCGATGTGAGGGATAAGAGATGGTGAGAAGTTCAGGATTGACATCTAGCTTGTGAGCTTGAGGAAGTTCAAGGATGGTGTTGCCCTTTACACAGAAGGTGGAGGTTAGGGGGAAGGTTTAGGGGAAAAGACAATGAATTCCATTTTGGACATATTGAATTTGAGATGTCTACTGGCCATCAAGTGTGAGATATCTCAAAGGCAGTTGGTGATACAAGACTGGAGTTCAGCAGAGAAATATGATCTACTGTACAAAATATTCATAATAGCTCTCTTCATAGTAGCCCAAAATTGTAAACTAAGGAGCTATCCTCCCATTGTGGAATGGCTAAACAAATTACAGTATATAAATATGATGAAAAATGGTGAAATGGACAGTTTTGGAATAAAGTGAGAAGATCTCTATGATCTGACAGAGGGCTAAGTGAGCAGAACAAGGAGAACAATTTATACAATGACAACAAAAATGAGAAAAATAACTTTAAGCTGTATCCCAAAGAGATCACACAAATGGGAAAAGGACCCACATGTACAAAAATATTTATAGCAGCTCTTTTTGTGGTGGCAAAGAATTGGAAATTGAGAGGATGCCCATCAATTGGGGAATGGCTGAACAAGTTGTGGTGTATGAATGTAATGGAATACTATTGTGCTATAAGACATGATGAGCAGGTAGGCTTCAGAAAAACCTGGAAAAACTTGTACGGACTGATGCTGAGTGAAGTGAGCAGAACCATAAGAACATTGTACACAGTTAACAGTCACACTGTGTGATGACTAATATTGATAGACTTAACCCTTCTCAGCAATACAAGGATCTAAGACATCTCCAAAGGCCTTATGATGGTAAATGCTATCCACATCCAGAAAAAGAACTATGGAGTTTCGATGCAGATCAAAGCATACTATTTGCTGTTTTTTTTTTCTTCTGTTGTGTTTTCTTTCCTCTTTGTGGTGGTTCCTTCATATTGGTTCTAATTCTTACTTACAACATCACTAATGTGAAAATATATTTAATAGGCATGTACATGTAGAGCCCATATCAGATTGTGCACCGTCTTGGGGAGAGTGGTGGGGAGGAAGAGGAAGAAAAATTTTAAACTCAAAAGCTTATGAAAGTGATTGTCGATAAAGCAAAATAAATTAATAATTAAAAAAAAGCTTTGAAAGACTTTAGAACTATGATCAAATGACAAATCATGATACAAAATGAAACATGCCACTCACCTCCCTGCCAGAGAAATGATGAACTTAAAATATAGAGACACATCCATTTTTAGTCATGGAAAATGTGAAATTTATTTTGTTGGACTATATGTATTTATGGAAGGTTTTATTTTTTGTTCGGTTTTGTTTAATGGGGAGCAGTAGGAGGGATAGATTACAAATGCACGCAAAAATAAATAAATTTTTCCATAAGTCTATTCTCTATACCTTTCAGATGGAGATAGATACATAGTTCCAATAAAGTACTGAGACAAGTCTAGGTCTGTTCTAAGTTACTCCATGACCTTGTCTGGTACATAAGAAACCCTTAATACATGCATGGTTCCTTGCCTTGGGGGAAGCTAACATTACTTATGTCATCTGCCCTCACTGGGCTGATGTGAAAGAGCAGTAAAAGCCTCAAAGCATCACATAAATATGAGTTGTTATCATCAACAGGAGAAAGAGAGGCAGCTGGCACAGCCTGATAAACTTTTCTGTAAAAGATGAGATTTTAGTTGGGACTTAATGAAAGCCAGGGAACTCAGCAGGCAGAATTGAAAAGGGAAAGCATGCTAGGTAGAGAGAGGAGCCAGAGATGGAGTGTCTTGTTCATGGAAAGTCTTATTCAATGCATTTTTAAAGTTTCAGTCCATTACAAAAAACAACAACAAAAAAAAGACTAAACCAAAATCACAGAAATATAGGGCTACTGCATTACACAAAATAACTTTAAGGTAAATCAATATCAACTGAAAATGTTGTGATTTCATGGTTCTGCCACTTAATGAAGCACTAACTTACTAGATGTATACTGTAAAGCAGTATTTTTAAAAAGCTAGTTGAACAGCCCTGAGCACTAATATGAACAGATGCACTACATATTGGTGCCCTGACCACCTCTAGCATAGGACACTAAACATTCCTTATGTATATGAAACCGTTAAGTACAAATGAAGTAACTATAATGAAAGAATCACTCATTGAAAAACAGAAATAGAATACATCAGCTGTTTTGAACTGAGTTTATATTGTAACCAACCTAAAGGAGCTGGCTGACCCCGTATAACTCCATTCTTAGTTCTCTCCTCCAAGTCCATAACTTCCTTGTATATCAATTCTGAAAAATAAAAAGCAACCAGTAAACTACAAAAGCCAATTTCATACCTTCGGTTCATTAATGGGAATTTTTATTATAGATAACACCAGTAAAGTACCAGTAAGTAACATTTCGAACAGATGTTCAATAAGTGCCAATAATGTATTTTTTTTTTTTAAGAATTTTCCAGAATTTACAGTAAAGGAACTAGAGGCCTAGGCTGAACTGGATCTCTTTAAATTAGGTCTTCTAAAGTTGGTTTAGGGCAGTGCTAGGGCACTGAGACAAAAGCACAAAGGACAAAAACCAGGGCACAGAATTCACATTGGATGGACTAAGACCTAAGCTCCCATCAGCATGAGGTCCTTTGTTACCTCTATGAGCCATTTAACTTTAAAGAGTCACAATGATGGTAAAGATCAATATACAGTTTGGGTGGCTTATGGTGCCACAATTTTGGATGTCAAAGTTATAGTAAGATATAGTTTAAAAAATCTGTCAAGGGATAGAGGATGTCAAAAATGACACAACAGAAATTTTCAATTATATAACATTGAAAAGCTTTTGTAAAAAAACAAAAATATATAGTTAAAATGAAATAAGAAACTATCGACGGAGGAAAAACCTTCTATCAAATATATCTAATAAAAGCCCAATATTCAAGACACATAGGGAAATGAGAAAAATTTATAAGATGAAGAGTCATTCTCCAACAGATAAACAGGCAAAGGATAAAGTTTTCAAAAGATATGAAAATTACAATCATATGCAAAATATTGCATATTGCAAATCACTTATAAAAGAAATGCAAAATAAAACAACTATGAAATTTCATCTCATATTCAGCAAATATGCAAAGATGATAAAAGTTGGGAATAACCAAAGTTGGAGGGGTTGTGGAAGGTCAGGAAGGTGATGCAGCTATGAATTGGTCTATTTTGGAAATTAATTTGGAATTACATGAGAAAAGCTACTCAACTGTTAATACTTTTGACCCATAAATCCTATTCCTGGGTATATATAAGAAACAACAAGATTCCATATATTCCAAAATACTCATAACAAAAAAAAAACAAACTAGAAGTAACATTAAGTACCCATAAATTGCAAACCAGAGGAACGATTAGTGATATGTAATATGTAACATAATGGAATATCATTGCGTATAAGAAGCAATAAATATAAAGAATTCAGAGAAAGATGGGAAAACTTCTATAAAGTGATCCAAACTAATACAGAACTAGGAGAAAAGGGGACTACTATAATGTAAAGAAATACACTAAAATATCAGAATTTAAATTACTCATGTCTATGTAATTCCAGAGACACTCCAGTGACCTGCCTGAAGTTATATAACTAAAAGCTAATACTGAAGTCAAGAGAGGATTTGGCCATAGGTAATGGGGTAAAATTGAGGTAAGCCAAACTAAAAATCATACACTATTCATTTAAACCAGAAAATTTTGGGACTGTTTTTAGTAAATAGATGAGCTACTGTTTCCATAACTATTAAAACAGATAAGACATAAATACCAGTTATGAAAGAAATAGCATTGGTATTTAATAATCTGTGTAGATATATCTTGCCCAAATGAACAGATTTTGAAAGCAAAATGGCCTTTGAGTTTAGACACTCCATTCTCTCTAAGTTTTCATTTTACCCATACCTTTCCACTCTTCTATTGTGTGCTCTCTTTCATCTAACTGCTTGTCAGGTATCTTTGGTGGAGGCTGTAAGAGATGAGGCAGCAGTAAGTAACTCAGGTCATTAAAATGGGGAAATAGGTGAAAAAAACTCATAATTTTCACTAACACAAGTCATCAAGTTATCTTGAAATCATAACCAGTCAATATTCAAACAACTATAGGTAAAAATGAAAAGTTTTGAACCAATTATTGGTACCTTTCTCATGGTATACAGACTAAGGATTCCCTATGTCTCTAAGGGAAGTTAACAGTTTATCACTTCTATGACCACTAGAATTCTAGGAGGTCTAGCTTTACTTAAACTAACTGTAATTTTCACTGTATTTTATCAGGACCATTTAAAAAACAAAAACCTTAAATCAAGATACAGTATGTATGCCTTACAGCTGTTCTATTCAGTTACCCTGATCCCTCTAAGGTTCAGAGCTAGGCATCTTAGAAGATTGCAAATTCCCTTTTTTGGGGTGGAGTTAGAGCAGTAAAGGAGGCTTAAAAAATAACGTTAGTTTAAGAACTGACAGTATCCTTGTACCTCTCTTCTACAGCTTACTCATATTATGAAACAAACCAAAAAAACTTTCAGCAAGAGAAACTCCTCCCACCCACTTTCTGGAACAACAGTTTACATCATATACTAATTAGATACAAAATATTTACACCTAAGTTATACCCGTAAACCCCTAATGAATATGCTATTCAGCTACTTTTTGTTCCCCAAAAGACAAAAACAAAATGATTCTAAACTCATAGGAGGAGAGTGTATTATATGTCTATGTGTATTTACATCATAAACATAAGGAAATGGACTCACCGCTTCTGCTTCTGAAGGATCATACCAGACATTGATATATGGGTGCTGGAGAGCTTCATCCACAGAGATTCTTTTAGATGCATCTATAACCAGCATTTTTGACAACAAATCCCTTGCCTGACTAGCTGCAAAAGTAACAGTTTGCTTTAGTGCCATACATATTTTCTCTAGAAAACATTTACTAAGACCAAGAACTTTTACAATTTATTATAAAAAACACATGCATTGATATACTAAAATTTAATTGTGAGTAATTCTGGAGGTCATTCTGAATTTTTGAATACTTAAAAAATGATACCTTTAAGTTTGTTGTGCTCTGAATCAGCTGGGAAAAGTACATCTGGGAAGAGCTTCTCAAAGCTATAGCCAGCATATTTAGGTCTGTTCTCCACGTAAGTCCTTACTGTTGGTTGTAATTTCTTCATGAACTCAGGGCATGGTGTTCCAAGTTGCTCAATAACTTTATTCCACTGATCAATATCTAAGATCAAGCAGCTAAGAAAAATACTTGACAGATCTACGTTGGCCATTAACACAGCAAAATGATAAAAAGGATACTCCCTAAAATTCACAAGAAAGAGTGTGAAGAATATAAAGAAAGCTTGATCACTACGCTGTTTAGGGTAGTGATAATAAGAGAAGAAAAATCAATGAATTAACTTAATACTGGTTGAGGTTTTTACATTGATTTTACTATAAAAACCAAGACAGAACATTTTCTTACTAAGGCTAAATCAAAGAAGAGTGATAATAACAATTCACTAAAGGCTAGCAGGTATAGGGTCTAAGTGCAAAAGGCTCAAAACCATAGAAGAATGCTAAATTTCCCTTCTTCTAGTTATCTTAGAGGACTGACCATAAATGCTAGTGAGTAATAAATCTCCTCTTTCGAATCCAGAAACTACATCTGCTGGTCCAGAAATGCCATGGATTCAATTACTGTGAAAGGACATTTTTTTTCCTGTATGTTTATATATAATAATACTGTCTTGTAATAATAGCTCCCATTGATCCAGTACTTTGCAGAATAATATATATATACACACACAAACATATATATATATATACACACATATATATAATTTCATTGATTATTAAATACTGAAATCCTTCCAGAAGGGAGACTTAATATTTCTATCAACTGTGGAACTTAGAAACTACTTTTAAGAGACCTGACACAGAAGGTCCCTAATAAGGCCAATTCCCCACCTCACAACTTAGTAAAACTAGTTTCTAGTCAGGAATATATTCAGAAATTTTGATAAAAGTCTCTGAAAAAAATTCTATGACACATAAAAATGTAGGGGGAGATGACTATTCCTTCTTCCTAACAACATCATTTAGCTGGCTGTTCTATCAGCTTGGTGGCAATTTTAAAGGGACTTTATATACTAATAATATCTGGTCTCCTGACACAGACAACTCAGTCAGCCAGATTGAGAGGATGTTAAATACAACTATCCCCTCCCTTTCTCCTTCATTAATACTCCAAAAGAAGTAGGTTCTGCGTAGTATTCTGCTGAGGCTCTCCAAATGACAAAAGTAACTATGGACACTATACTATACTACACCAGTTGGGAATGTCTCTTACCACCCACACTTCCAGCAGAGGCTCACAGATGTCCAATAGGGCCATGGTTAATAGACCTGATTCTACTGTACCTCCCTCTAAATAGCTTTAAGCAATTCAGTTTGACAGAGAAATACACAGCTGATTGCTGTTAATATAACAAGTAAAAAGCAGACAAATGGACAAAACGTGCTCTTAATGAATTCTAATCTAATCAACATCACGAAAAAGCAGCACAGCTCAAATACTTGAAATGAAAGGATCAATGAGTTAAATTCAATAAGGGCCAACAGCAAAAATAGCACACAGACACAAAACATAAAACAAAAGAAAAAATAATGTATGACCAGAGGCAATGGACAGTTTTAAAATTCATGACATTAAATCTATTTCCTAAACACTTCTAAATCTATTCAAGTGATAGGAATATTAGAAATTAATGAATGAAAGCCATGCTTATTGGTTTTGGTTAAATAAACAAATCCAAAGCCCGTGATAAACTATCAATAGATAATTAATTGCACTTTAGCATTTTTTTTAATGATATAAAACTACAAATATAAGAAAGGTCTATATGTAGTCTATATCAGCTGGTGGTATTCTGAAACAGTAATTTAGCATTACCTCATTAACTGCATAAGAGACAAGATTATGTTAAACTGACCAAGCTGAAGTTCATTTTGACCTTTCAAAAACTATAGTCTAGGCGAAAAGTAAGGATACGATCTGTACCTGGGAACAAAACACCACCTTTGATCATTTCTCCCATGATGCACCCAACTGACCAAATGTCAACTGAAAACAAAATGCAATGACATTAACATAAAGGTATTGGCTAAAGTAAAAAACAAAACAAAACAAAAAAACAACACACAAATAAAATCATAACACATAATATGACATATTCAAATTATAAAAAGCAGTGTAAAATGAAAATGAGTGACAATGAATGGTGCTCTGACTCCCAGCAGAGACTATGTCCTACTGCTAGGTGCAGCCTAAAAAAATGATTCAACTTCTCATCAGAACAATTTTTTGAAATATACAACAACAACAAAGTTTCATGTCTATTTAAAGAAAATTGGACCATAAGCACTTTCATGACAGAGCATTAAAGAGTGAATCACCAATCAAACTGCTGCAGCCGCACAAGGATACAGTCCCTTCCTGGAAAGAGGATTTTGTGGCAAACCATTTCTCCCATAATGCACCCCACAGACCATAAATCCACTATGTTTGTAGCACAAAAGAAGGAAAAGCAAAGCAAAAGGTCATTTAAAATTAAAGAAGCATAACATGATTGCATTATATAAAACTGCTGAAACTTATCACAGAAAAAAAAGGAAATGATTTCAGTTTTAATTAATGGAAAGATTCTAAATAAAAGTATTTTCCAAAGAATTTTGTTTGATTCACAAAGGAAAATGTGTACAGCCTCTTAATTAAGTTTTTAAATTTAAAGTGAGAGCTCTGCACAGTGATAATACAGTAAAAAGGAATACAGTTAGAGCATAAAGAAATCAACTTTTGGAATTTTGGAATATGAAACAGAAACCAACTAACTATAATATGTAATGGTGTAAAAGGACACAGTCAAATTAAAGAAATCTTTCTCATTCTGAAATTCAACCGTGCATTGCACTCTCTTTAAGTCAAATAAACAAAAAAAGCATGAGCAGAAATAATTTAGCATATTAAAATACCCATTAACATTAAAATTAGTTATGTTCCTATAAGTAGACTAAAATTAGCTCAAACTATTTCAATAAAGCAACAGTCTCTTACTGAAAAGAACTAAGGGTCTAATAGTGCTAACGAACATCAGAACAAATTTCATAAAACATCAAAAAATTCTGTCTTAAAATATATGTATAAGATAGCATTTGCCTAAAATTCTTCGAAGACTTTTACAATGGCCTTTTCTATTTCACTGATAGATCATAAGTATTCTGTTATAACAGGATTAAACATAGCATATGTTAAGCATTTTCTTGATCACATTATATAAGAAATTTTACTAATTAATTTATAAAAATGACTATTTTGGGGCAAGAGTAATAGCTAAGTTAAGGATAAAATAAACAACTATCTTTAAAATGGCTCAAAGAATTTTCTTCTTCCAAAAACCAAATCTATATCCATATAAGTACGTTATACTTTGGTTAAAGAAATCAATTTTGGATGGAAGTATTAGTACAGATTCCTAAAACACACAACTCTTAGTGAGTTTCTCTTTAAGAGAGGCAGCAGCACAGTGAAGGGGATGCAGCACTGGACTGGGAGCCAGGACATTCAGGGTCCAGTCCTGGCTCTGCCGCTGACTAACTAGCAGTGTCAGCCTGGGGAGGTCCCTTCAGCTCTCTGGTGCTCCGCCTCCTCTTATGTAAAATGAGGAGCTTGGATTAGCTGACTTTGGCCCTTCTGGCTCTCACATTCGGATTTAAATTGTTTCGAAACAATCACTGACCCTATCCAATTTTAAATGAGATCCAACTGAAGCTTGACAAAACTAATCCACACATTAAAGAAACATAAAATTTGGGGGTTTCCACCTGTTTTCGGTAAAACACACAACACACACAGACATACTCCTGGACCTGGATAGTAAATAAAAAGAGGGCATGGAAGGGTGGAGCAGGAAATGAGGGGTAAAGGGAGAACAAGCAAATGAACTGCAAACCCTAGAAACATTTGCATATACCCTGTTGGGAGTTTGAAAGCCCATGATCTTTTAGAAAGAAAAAGAAGGGAGATCATAGGTAGAAATGTCAACTTTATCTATGCTGATGGAAGATTTAAGGATGAATGTTGGTAATTTCTTATGACCATTTGTTAAAAAATAAAATTTAATTTGTCAAGCTGAATAATACAGAGAAGAGACTTTAAAAAAATAGTTCATCAATCACTAGAGTGCAATGAAGCATCTTTTAAAACGCCTGACGCTAGTATACAGCCTATTTTATCAATTATTTCATAGTTTTACATTAAATATTATGGACTTTTTGTTAAATGCTCTGGACATATAGTTCTTGTTGGCATGCTTTAACGCCTCATCTTTTTTTTTTTTTTAAGACAATTGGGGTTAAGTGACTTGCCCAGGGTCACACAGCTAATAAGTGTCAAGTGTTTTGTCTGAGGCCACATATGAACTCAGGTCCTCCTGACTTCAGGGCCGGTGCTCTATCCACTGGGCCACCTAGCTGCCCCTCATGCCTCATCATTCTTAAAAATAAAAAGCTTTCAGGAAAAATGTAGCCATAGGCCAAAATAGATGCTTTGTGAAATAAGATGGTAAAAAGCTGTATGCAGCTGTGTAAACTCACAACTGCATTTTATGCTACATTAATTTGAAGCTATAGTGTCTCAGCAGTTTTTAAAGGTATAAAATAGACATGGTTTAAAAATAAAATTTTAATTTAACCCCTACCCCCATCAAAACATATTAGAGAAAAGGGTACTCACCTAAAAACCTAACTCACTATCAATTTCTTAAAATACACCCCTCTCCCACCAAATTCACCAAGTCTTATACTTTAATGGTTTCTAAAGTTCACTAGTGTTATACCCTAGCGGGGAAAAAAAAAAAAGATTCCAGGTCTTGTACCAAGTGATTCTTTTGGATGAAGTTAATTTGTTAATTCTAATAAGGTACAGAAAGCCAAACCCTGGGCACAATTGATCTTCTACAAAATGTCTGTAAGTCTTTGGATATCACTTCCTATTACAGATGGGGGTGTGGCGAGGGAAAGGATATATAATTTAGCGATCACTTCAATACTACAACATCTAACAATTAAATATATTTTATAACTTTGGTTTCAGGGTGGAACCCAAGTATCTCTATCTCTGTGCACATTTGTATGTGTACATGTATACAGATGTATATTATATGTACATAAATATAAATATATAAGCAAATAAAAAAGTAGCACAAGGCACTCCTTTTTTTTCTTTCTTTTTTTTCAGACAGTTGGGGTTAAGTGACTTGCGCAGGGTCACACAGCTAGTAAGTGTGAAGTGTTTGGTTGTAGGCAGAATTTGAACTCAGGTTCTCCTGATTTCAGGGCCAGTGCTCTATCCACTGTGCCATCTAGCTGCCCCACAAGACATTCCTTTGAGGATGGACCAACAAAGTTTTTAGAATCACCTTGATTCTTTTTTGTAGGTTGAATCACTATAACCATGGCTATGAGGGCCAGGACTTAAGGTTGGTTATTTTTTTTTTGTGTGTGTGTATCCTCACAAAGAAAGAATTTTTAAAACTGTTTTTCATTTGAATTATGAGTTCTACATTTTTTATTGTCACCAAAAAAAAAAAAAAACCCCTCAAAAGAACCTATCAATGCTCAGAGGTTGGTGACCTCGGAAGGCAGGCTGACAGAATTGAAATATGCATTTTATCCTTTAAAATCTTGCCAGTTAATCTTAAGCTTCAAGATTATGAAAATAGGGCAATCATCATTTATTACTAAATGATCAATAAAATATGCTTTGCTAAGGATAATTTTTGAAATGCTCATTTTTATGCTATGGTTAACGATATACACTAAAGGTGAAGAAAATTACTTTGGTAGTACTGTTTGTGTGTGTGCATGTTTACATGAACAGGATCCCCAGACTTTCAAACAGTGATGAAAAAATTCCTAGTAAGTTTCATAAAATCTGTACAACTGCACACAATTAGTTTTGAACACTAAAGAGATTATACAGGTTAAACATTTACATTAGAAATATGATGTTCAAAAGGGAAAATAAATTATAACTACATTTCAAAGAAATACTATGTTTGCTGACCGTTTTCTTTGTAGCCCATCCCTAGGATGACCTCGGGTGCTCTGTAGTAACGAGTCACTACATAAGGTGTCATCATAAAACTAGTTCCTGCAGTTCTGGCCAGTCCAAAGTCAAGAATCTTCAAAGTGCAGTCTGATTTTACTACTATATTACTGGGCTTTAAGTCCTTAAAAAGAAACATCATAAATGACTGCTATGACATGTATAAACATTTTGCAGTTCACATTTAAGTTACCACCACCACTTGAGAAAAAAATTTAAAGGTAGTCAATCCATGTTTTTGTTAATTTATCTCACTACAAATGTATTTCTTCATAAATTTAATGCAAGTGCCAAGTTCCCAAAATATGATTTCTTCATGGAATTTTCATTTGATAAAACTGTTCAATACCTAGAATACTGAAGAAATTAGAAGTGTTTTATACATTATAAATTAGAATTAGGCTGAAAGGTTAGTTCTAATATATGGGATTTGGAAAGGTCATTAAAAGGAATTAAAAGCACATATAAGTATCGTTATGCTTTAAAACAAAGACAGTCAATTTAAAAAAAAATTACCCAACCTATCATTATTAATAACATTTATTAATTTACGCATGAGGATGCTATACATGGATTCCATTTTTAATCACTATGTATGTATTATTCCTACTACTCAAAGTCTTCAGGGTGTGTCCATATTAAGTCTTCCAACAAAATCTCTTTATTGAAAATAGTGAGTGGGTCACACTCTGTGTCAGTCTAACCATCCAATGTTACTTTTTCCTTTCACATCAGCAGGTACACATCTCAAAACTGCTTAACGTTATAACTGTGAAGAGGCAGAACTTTATATCGCTGATTTCTCACTTAAAACCTTGAAATTTGTTGATGGCAAAAATTTTAAGCTTGCCTAAAAATGTCTCCGCAATTAGGACACTTCTGCTTTCCACTTAAAAGGGAAAAAAAATACATCTGACTGTTGTAAAATCATCTCTACAGACCAATTGTAACAAACTCTGTAGTTAATGTTATTAGAAACTTTTTATGAAAAACTCTCCTAAACTGCTTTAATGTTCAGTGTCTATTACAAGAGGCAGTGAGAGAAAAATGATTCTTGCTGTTAATTTACAACCCATCAGCCCTCAAGGTTCTCATTTCAGTACCGAAGTGGTGCTGCTCTGAGAGCTGTTATGTATCAGATGAAAATCTGAGGAACCAAGACGCAAAAAAGGGGGGGAAAAAGATCTGATGGATCTATTTACCCTATTACTTCTATGGATTTACATACATTGGATTTTAGTTAAAAATTGTCAGCGATTATTAAAATAAAAATACATTTTATATAAGGGCAGTGTCCTGGTTATTAATTTTAATGTTTTTATATATCACAAGGTATGTATGTATGTACATAATGTATATATACATTATGCACACATGTATATGTATAATTTCTAATTCATTCTAATATGAAGTGAAGGATAGACTTAACAGACATTTAATAGGGTAACAGTGAAGCTCTAATAATGCTAGGCTTACAGGTAACGTAATGACTGAAAAGAGGGAGGTATATGAAGGGATTTCTATTTTGAAAGCATAAAGAAACCTTTGAGATTAATGAGTAAGAAATGTATCAATTTAACTATTTCAGGTCACAGTGAAAAAACACTACCATAAACCTATTATTTTATCTGTGAGGTAAGACTGAGTGTATACTCAATAATAAATATTACAAGATGGGTAATGCTGAAATGCCTAGAAATGAACAAAGACCGGAAAATCAAAAATCCATGTGACATAATTTGAACAAATGAATATCTTACCTGCAAATAAATGGAACAAAGTCAAAGGACAGAAACAAAAACAGCATTTTTCATACAGTTAAGAAAAAATGGGTCAATTTCCATACATGTTACGGAAATTTACACACAGAAAAAAGGAAAGCATGATAAATTTAATGAATTCAAACAACTTAATTAGCCCCATTTACTGCCCATGACAATGAACCTATAGTACCAGGGCATTGGAAAATATCATTAAATTTAGTCTAACAACTCAAAAGTAGACTTTTAAAAAAAAAGTATAAATATTGACATAATACTGAGATAAGATATGAACTATGACCACTTAATAATGAAAGAATCTGAAGAGGAAATAATTTATGTTTTGGAGAGGGAGAGTGGCATAGTACCACCCTCCTCAACCTGAGTGATGTAAAACATTTGCATTTTCTTTTAATGAACTCTTAAAAAGGCTCTTTTAAAAAAGTGAGAGAAAGTATGCTAAAAAGTGTCTTCTAAATACAGTGACCCAGTAAATTTGGAAAACCTAAGGCCTAGTCTGAACTTTGCTACTAACTAGCTGTATGAAGACACAAATACTCTATTCCCCAATTCTATCATCTTTAAAATATGGTTGTTTGTGTGGTGAAGTGTGCAACTACATCTTTTAAAACAGAACTTCCTAACAATTACAACTCGATTAAAGTGAAATGTGTTGCCTTTGGACATGGTGAGGTTTCCTTTACTGGAGGAATGGAGGAATATTTCAAGCAATGGCTGGATAACCACTTCTCCAGAATACTGTAAAAAGGATTCTAGTTCAGACATGGATGGACAAGACTGTTTTGGAGGTCTCCTTCTCTGAGATATGGTCCTTTGCATCCTTAAAATTCTATGTTTTTGACACCAATATGAACTACAGACTGCTGAAGCAAGCAAGCTATGATGTTACATAATTAAATACTGCATATATGTGTATATATATATATACATATATGCAGTATTTAATATACATATACATATACACACATATATACCTACGTATGTATGTATGTATAGCATTGTAATATGCCAGTCCTATGTACTTCCAGGAGTGGATCTTTCTTGTTTCTTGGTTCAGCAACATAATCCAACATTTTTTGTCTCCTCCTTCCCCCAATTTTTGTTTAATTGTGAGGAAAACCACAAAACTAGTGCATGTATTTATCAGGGACAGAGGGTCTTTTTTAATGAAAAAAATAATAGAACCACAAAATTTGAGGTTTCCTCAAAGAATAACTAAAATTCCTCCAACAATATCAATCACAAAAGGTTTTACACACACATAAAAATAGAAAACAATATTATAAACATGTCAGAAGTCAACTTTGGAAAAAAAGTAGGTCTCTTAAGTGAGATTAATTTGTTCTGACATTGTATGATACACTTGTCAAAATGCTACATATAAATACTAATCTCTTAAGCTATGTTGAATGCACTCTCATTATTTATGGGTAAGTACGTACCACAAATTACTCTTGGTTATTTAAAAAAAATCGAGACGCACAAATGCAAACTTCAGGTAAAGCATTTTCTACAGCAGAAATTTATATGACAGCTAAGTGGTATGGTGGGCAGAGTGTTAAACTTGGAGTCAGAAGACCTGAGTTGGAATCCTGCCTCAGACACTTAATAGCTGTGTGACCCTGGGCAAGTCACTTAACCTCTCTCTGCCTCAGTTCTTATGCCTCATATATAAAACTTGAGTCATAATAGCATCTAGCTTAGCACAGGGTTGTTATAGCACATGAAATAACATATGTAAAGCATCGTAAAACCCCTAAAACACTATATAAATGTGAGCTGTTATTGTTCTTATCTGGTCTCTGCTACAGAATACTATAACACACAAAATGTAAATCAGAGGATATCAAGAGGCCAAAGCACCTTCATCCAAAAGATACATAACATACATATATCTCAAGATATGATCTATTACTTATCACTTATGATAATATGAAAAACTGCAATGCCATAGGCAACCCCCAAATTTACTTATATTTGATTGAGAGGCAGTGTGCCTTTGTGGATAAAGACCTAGTATCAGAGCATTTCTGACTTCCTAACATCTTTTATCTACTTTCCCTTCGGCCACCATTCTAGCTCTGACGCTCATCATCTCGTGCCTGGATCACTGCAATAGATTTTTAATTGATCCCCCTGCCTCAAGTCACTCCCCACTTGAATTCATTCTTCAGTCAGCTGCCAAAATGATTTTCCTAAAGCACCAGTCTGACTATGTCACCATACTGCTCAATAAATTCCAGTGGTTCCTTATTACTTCCAATATCAAATTGGCAAAATCCTCACTTAGTCACTTAAAAAGTTATTCTTTAACTTGACCCCTTCTTATAATTATAAAGTCTTTTTATACTTTGTTTTCCTTCACCCATTCTGCAATCTACTATGCTGGCTTATCTTCGGTTTTTTCAACATGACATTCTATCTCCCATCAGAATGCCTTACACTGTCTCCCATGCCTGGGATGCTCTGTCCTCTCACCTCCACCTTTTGGCTTCCCTGGCTTCCTTTAAGATTCACCCCAAGCACAGCTTCTGTAGAAATCATTTCTAGCTCCCCCAGATGTTCGTGCTTTCCCTTTCAGATTACTTTCTATCTACTACGTATATATTTGATATATTTGTCATGTACCAAGTTATTTACATATTGATTCCTTCATTAAAATGTGAATTTGAGAGCACACGCTCTTTTTGGCCTTTCTTTCTATCCTCAGCACTTAGCACAGCATCTGGCACACAGATAAGTGCTTAATAAATGCATGTTGACCGATAGAAATTCTGGGTTGACGTCCCACAAGACCACATGGCTCTGGTCAAATCTCTTAACCTGCAGGAGCTCCAGATAAGTAAGACAATAGGTTGCAGAGAAGGGAGCTCTCACAGCAATGAAATCACAGGTCCTAGAGCTATCCTTAACCTTTTTGAAGCAAATATGTCAGATATTCTCAAAAGTCAATATTCTAGAACAATACACTGAAACCAAGAAGATCTAACTTGCTCAAATGATTAACTTCTTTCCACTTTATGCATGATCAAAAATTGACAGGAGTGACACCAACAGCTTAAGAGGGTCCTTCTTGTATTGAACCCACTAAATGGCATTTTCCTTTGGTACTGATCTAAGTGTGAAGACAGGAAAAATGACAGCTTTGGTCTAAAAAGACTTTACTGATAGCTGAAATTAGAGGAATAATATATTTCTGGTTCTCTGAAATCATTTCCCCTCCTAGTGTCGGCTAGGCAGCATACAGAATGAAAGAAGTAGAAGTAAGACAACAGAATTAAAGCCAATGAAGAGCAAAGTTTATAATACTGAAGCTAGAATGGCACAGCTAGAAAGAGATCTTAGGGATTTATTCAATTTTCTAGATGAAGAAACACATAATATTTTTTCTTCATTTATTTTCAGTAGACAATTGAGTTTCTCAGTTGTACATTTAACATACATAAAAAGCTTTGTTATCTGGCATTTTAGGGGGCAAGGGTACCAATTAGTTAAGATTTTTCTGAACAGGAATTAAATTTGTTCCACTAACATCCTTATCTGATTCCTCAACATGTTGTACAGATTACCTTTGTCCTTTACTAGGACTAGTCTAGTTAAGTTTGGAGGTGTTCCTCATAAGAAATTTGCAGGTAGACAATAATTATCTTGATTGAAGCGATTTATAAAATCACTCATTAAAGAGTAGAAGGGTTATGCTCTGTACTGGTGGAGGGATTACCCATGCTAATGAAATCACAGCTCTTCTTGAGGTATTCAAGTTATGGAATATCATAATTCACATAGTTTAACATAGGAACTTTTATTATGAAACAGAATGTAACTAGGTTTTTAATGTCTTTTTAGTTAATTATTATGCTCTGGCATACCTCTAATCTGCATGGCTTCAGGTTCTTTCAGAAAGATGTTTGCTTATAAATGAAATTTAAGAGTTATAGCTGAAAGTGTTTAATTAGTAAATTTAACCACTATATTTAAATGAATTATGCAATATTTTACATATTATAATCTCTTTTGGAGTAAATTAGTAAAATAGTAGAAACTTTCTTTGGAAAGGGAAAGGGAGTCCTCAGAAGAATCAGAAACTGACAGGGAGAAGGACTATATATATGCCTATGATTTCTCTGAGGTGGGGATGGGGGAAGAGAGAGAGAAAAGAAAAAAACTTTCTAAGAAAGCAGAGTTACAATTAGGGGCATGGAGGAAATACTATGAAGATAAGGAAGAGGTCATTTATAAGAATGATCCTCTCAACTGAAACGCCTGCAAGGGGCAGTCACAAAGAGCTCAAGCCTCTTTTCCACAAAATCTTCCTATATTAGTCCAGCTCACAGAGATTTCTTCCTTTTCTCTCATAGCACTTAAAACAAAAACAAAACCAACTATACTTATCATTCGGCAATAAATCATGTGATATTATCTATATTATTTTCTTGTGCTATTATTTAACTACTGAACTGGACTAGAGTCTGTTAATCTTTTTTGTTTTGCCTTTAACACTGTGCCTTATACACAGTAGGTGCTCCATAATTTTTATTTGAAAGGCTTCAGATAACTGCTCACTTGGTGGCACTGTATTCTAATTGCAGGCAAATATCTACAGGGAAAAAAATAACTTGGCTGCTGGGCTTGCAAACTTAAGGAAATGAAGGGATTATAAAAATCCCAACTTTTTTGGAAAAATCAGGCTGAAAGAGACTGATGACAAAAACATAAACGTGCAGTTAGTTGTGAGCATTTTGCTAGAAGGCCAGAGCGCAGATAAGCCAGTGAAATGAAGAAACCAAGTTTAGAAGCACTGGGAGATCCCAAGGTCACATCAGATATATTTGTATCATGGTTTCAATTTCTTACATTTCAAAACTAAATTTTATCCTTATCAAAATTAGCAATCAATGAAGTTAATTTCTGCACATGGTCAAAATATTACAGTTCAGAAACAAAATTTTGCCAATTTCATTTGTAAAAACAATAAGTAGTCCACTCAAAACAATAAAAAGGGTACATAAATATTATGAGCAAATAATATTTATGAAAAATGAAAATTTACCTGACACCTCCTTAAATCTGATAGTTCCCTATGGGCTTTAATGATACGTAATTTATTTTTCCAGGGGTGTTTTATTGTTCTAGTCTATACACTGGGAAGGAACAACAACAATTCTACTTTGCCCAAGGTCACACAGAAGGTAATGAGGCCAAAAATGGATTCTGGTCTCCTGTTGAGCTTACAAGGGATTGTATATTTCTCTTGTTATAGTTTAGGAAAATGTAAAAGCATGACATTACAGAATTTGCAAATGTGGGCTACCAAGGAACATCAGCAGGGATGCCGATAAAGTGCCAGACCAAGCTAGTCAGATACATTTTTGCCTCAGATAAGTTATTAACAAACAAACAAATCAAAGCAAAAAAACAAAAAGCAAAGTTGAGAAGATGGTTAAGCTATTATATAATTTTGGTTATTTGACACAAAGTGACTCAAAACTAGACATCTGGTCTAAAAAACTGATGATCTCACTGAATAAAACCTATTTTAAAAGGTATGTCTAAATTAGAAAAACATATTTTCCAAAATTTAATGAGATGTCATTCAAATGACCTACTATGGAAACATAAAACCATCAAGTACTTAAATTATGTGTACATGGAAAATAATGCACTACTTCAAGTCAATTTCTATATTCTACTTTAAAATATGTTGATAGCATAGATTTTTAAAATATATCACTTTGTTTCACAAAACAAATCAATGTATTTCCCTCTAGTTCTTTAGAAACTGTAAAGACAGAGATATAAGTAAGACAAGTGAATATTTCTACTTACTCGATGTATAATTCCAGCAGAATGAAGGTGCTTGATTCCACACAGCATCTGATACAGAAGGTAGGACATTCGTTCATGGTCTAGTTCCATTTGAATCACTTGGCAAAGATTTGCATCCATGAGCTCCATGACTATGTAACTTCAGAGAAGGGAAAAAATAGTAATCAAAAAGTACACTAAATAAATAGTCTAATAAAGCAAACTTGGGTGATAATCACACTTACACATCCTGAAATTCTTCTAGGGACTTCTGTGGTGTGAACACATTCAAGAGGCCAATTATCTGTGGTAGAAGCAGGGAATTTGGATAAAGTTATAAAACATTTTGTGAAACTGAATAATTCTGAATGGCAAATTCATAGGTTAAAAAGAACTAAGGGTCCATTACACAATCACCTGGTAAATGTTCATTTGTTTACTTTCACTGACTTCATATATGATCACTTTCTTTTCTGTTGATTTAAGACAACAGAAATGAAATTTCTCATTCAGTCAAGAGACTTTACCCCCATGGCAGGCATAGAATTTGTTTCATTAGAAGCAATGTAAAAGCTTATTGATTAAAAAAGAAAATTCTATTCAAAATTCTACTTAAAAATGTAAACCTGAGCCCTGATACTAAGGCTTAATGATTATTTCAGGAAAAGGATTTGTATTAGTATTAGAAGCAGCAGCAGCAGCAACAGCTAGCATTGATGTACTTTTCAGATTTGCAAAGCTCTTTACAAATATCTCCGTTTAATCTTACAACAACCCTAGGAATTAGGAGCTACTATTACCTTCATTTTATAGAAGGAAATGAAGTAGATAGAAGCAAAATGACTTACCCAGGGAAACAAAGCTAGTAAGTGTCTCAGTCTGGATTTGAACTTAGGTCTTTCTGAGTTCAGGTCCAGAGCTCTATTCATTGTACCACCTACCTACCTAGTTAGCATCTCAGAAACCTGTCAGGAGTGGGATTTGAACTCATGCCTCATATGGAGATCAGAAGAATCCTGGGCACGGAGGAAACTCATGCTTGAGTCTGGGGCCTTACACCCCTTGGCCATCCTAACAGTCTTGTGAGGTCACCGGTTTTCTTCAAAAATGAAGGACAAACAACAACAACTTATCTCAGAACCCTAACTGATGAGGAAATTCCTTCTGCCAACAAAGGATGCCAGTTAAAGTCTTAGAGAGTTGCCTCCTGTACTGAAAGGTTCAGTGACTTCCCTTGGGTAAGACAGCTGGTATGTATCCATCTTCAAGGCAGCACTTGAAGTCTGGTCTTCCTGAAGTGATGTCAATCCTCTAGTCACAATGCCATGATGACTATAAGGTCTACCAGAGGTCTATTTAATCAACTATGAATGTGAATACTTCTGTATTCATTCAAGTGTTACTGGAAAAAGACTCTGGGAATATGTATTTGAAACCTAGCTCTGGAACTATGTAACTAGAAAAATCATAATCATCTTTGCTTCTGTTTTCTCAAATATAATATGAGTGGGTTAGACTAGATGATTAAGCCCCTTTTAATTTTAAATACAATGGAGCTCTAACAAGTGATCCAATTTTTTATGCATGTTATCATTATCTTCAATTTCAATTAGAAGCTACAGCACATACAGATTACTGAGCTCTATGTGCAAAAGGACTTGGATAAAAGGACTTCCGGATCTATTTTTAGCTGACCCTCCACAGTGATCTTCAAGGTTAGCATACACAAAAATTTCAATAGTGCAAAAGCAAAAGAAGCCAAAGGCAAGACAGATGAGAGCTTCCACCTCCAAGCAGAGGATGGAAAATGTTCCTTTGCTTCATGGCTACTGCTTGGAAAGGCAAGAAAAAGACATATTTAGAAAGACTATAAACCAATCAGGCAATAATAGCTTATGTCTTAGCAGAGAGGAAGAACAGTGGGAAAAGCTGAAGAAAAGGGGATGTTGTGCATTCATCTTCACAAAATGTTCAAGACCAAAGGGCAACAAACATGACACTTGAGGTACTAACATCTGGGAACACCACCAGCCAGGACCTGTCATCTCCTGGAGCCTGCTGCAAGGCTTGCTTCAAAGAGGGTTTCAAATGAACGAATGCACAGTAGTACCTTTATGACTGGGTGACTTCAAGAGAAACACAGCAAGACTCAGAGGAATGGATACTGAGTGAAGTAAGCAGGACCAGGAAAACAACAGGCAAAAACTTGGATGATTATTACACTTGGCCCCAGGGAAGAGATGAGAAAAGAGATAGCACCTTTTCTCTGAGAGGTGTGTGGGGGGAGATGGGGCGGGACTATGAACACAAAATACTGCACATGTTGCCAGACATGGCCATGGTGTCAGTTGGGTTTTAATAGTGACTTTTTTGTTACGGGGAAGGCTCACTGAACAGATAGACAGGATGGCATATCTTGAAATGACTTTATTTTGAAAACAAAAGGCATCAACAAAGCATTAATTTAGAAAGAAAATTAATGAAATGCCAATTAGGAAACAAACCGATGATTTACTAAGGGATATGTTTTCAGCTCTCTGTCAAGAAAGTAGATACAGTATTTTCTGGCACCTTTTTAGAAAATTTTTCAGGGTCCAGATGACAATATCATATTTAAGTAAATTCCAAAGAATATTGATTAAAGGGAAGTATACACACACTTCTTTTTAGTGATGACTAAAAGTATGAGGTCTCTTAAAATTAACTTTAAGAAACCAGAAGTTGTAAGAAATGCCAATTACTGGTAAGGGCAGGGGCTGCTCCCTGTTCCTCAAACTAAAAACTGTAAACAAAGTTAGTCTATTTATACATTCAATAAGGCAAAGGTTTACATATATGTACCCTTACCAAGAAACATTTTATTTGGAATCTGTAATCTCGTTTGGACTGCCTCTATGTACTTGTTTACCTCAGTATTTGTCTACCTGTTTCTTTCCCTCTTTGATTTTACTAGCTGGATCATTGAATTGACCCAGTTCTTCCTCTCTTGTGCTTCTACCTTGTTCTTCATGTTTGTCTTGCACCAATGCTTTCATCATTCCCATCATCCTAAAATTAATCAATCAACAAGCATTTATTAAGCCAGGCACCATACTAAGTACTGGGGATGACAAAGACAAAGGTGAAACAGTACCTGTCATCATTTTCACAGGGGAGACATTTTGTACACCTATAAGACTATATACAAAATACAAGACAGTTTTGTGAGAGACGGCATTAGTAATGAAGCATCAACTATGAGGAAGAAAAAGTAATCCATTATGGCTGGATTACAAGGTATATGAAGAGGAGTAATGATTTGAAAGGTAGGAATGAGTTAGGCTGTAAAGAACTTTAAATTCCAAATAGGAATTTACATTTTATACTAGAAGGGATAGGGAGCCACTTGGTTATTGGAGCAGGGAGAGAGGTCAGGGAGAATGACATGGTTGGCCTTAACTTTAGGAAAATTTTTCACTTTGGCAGCTGTGTGGAGGATGGATTGGAGTAGGGAGCCATTTGAAGACCAAAGAGGAAGTTATTGCTAGAGTCCAGGTGAGAGATGGTAGCTATGTGAGTAGAAAGAAGGGAAGGGAAGGGTAGGGGAAGGGAAAGACACTGTGAAGATAACAAAGATAAGATTTGCTTTTGAGGTAACAATCATAGCTAGCATATACATACATACATACATGCACATATATGTATGTATGTATGTGTGTGTATATATATATATATATGTATAAATGCTGCTTTAAGGTTTGCAAAGTTCTTTACATATTTTATCTTGCTTTATCTAAGCACTTAAGAAGTACTAACCCTGTGGGGGGGGGGGGGGTTGAGCTAAGATGGCTGAGTAAAAGGAAAGAAGTATTGCCAGGCTCCTGCAACACAATCCTTCCATTAAGATCTAGAAAATGCACCAGATGGAGTGCTGGTCAGGATTTCAAAAGAAAAATCACTATGAGACCCATTTTCAGCGCATGCAATACAGGGAGTCCAGGGGTGTATCTCATAGGACCATTTCAGTGCATAAAAACTCAAAAAATGACCAAGGCCATAGAGCAGGGCAAGAAGAGGTCCTAGACTATACATGGGGAATCCCAATCTTGTGAAGGATGCAGGAAGAGATGCTCTGTTATTCCCTATACAGTTCCAGGTCCTACATCCCAGGGTAGACTAAGAAGGGGACCTGTACCTCAGGATAGCTTTTAAGGGAAAGGAGGGGCTGCAATTGTCCTGAGTTAGAAGCAAGTTCAGGAGACAGCTGCAGTTATGTGGTTCAGACACCAGGAGCAGAATGGGTTCTCAGTTCCAGCTTTCAATCCTGTTTAAAACCTTCAGGAGAAAAACCAGGGCTGGAATCTCAGACCAAAGAGAAGTCTACTGTTCTGTCACACTGAACCAGCGAAGCTTTCTAGCAGGCTGATAGTGACTGAACATCAGTCTACTTCAATATTCAAACTGGGAAATCCGACAGGACTTTTATGCAGACCCAAACTGAGGAAAGAAAACTTGAAACAGCTCAGAACAGAAGGGCAAAGATCATACTTTGCCCTGGATCAGAACACTTTGAGAGCTCTGAAAGCTTGCAGATCTCCAGCCTGAGCAATTCCTGAGATCACAAAATAACACTACACTTTATACCCCAAAAAAGTAACAGAAAGACCTAAAAGAACAAAGCTCAACCCAGATATCTTCCCCAGAAGTTTACAGAGCTAAGCCTTAACAAAGTCTGAAGTTAGGAAGTAGGCTAGAAAAATGGGCTAACAAAAAAGAATCCCACCAGAGAGAGTTATTATGATGACAGGGCAGTCAAGATAGAAACTCAGAAGAAAATTATTCCAAAATATCTACAAGTAAATTACGTCTCAAAGAAAAACAGTTTGGGCACAAGTTCAACTAGAATTCCTGGAAGAGATAAAGCAAGAATTTAAATAAAGAGTTTAAAATGATTTAAAAAACAAATGAGAGTGCTATTGGAAAAAGTGGGAATAGAAATGAGAGCTATAAAAGATTAAGAAAGATAATTTAATAGCTTGGAATAAGATGTACAAAATTTTATGTGTGTGTGAGGGGGGATTACCTGAAAATTAGAATGGACGAAACAGAAGACAATGAAACAACAAAAGAAAATGTAATGTATCTCATAACAAAAGCAACACATTTGGAAAACAGATCAATAACAGATAACTTCAGAATTTTTGGACTACCTGAATGCCATGGCCAAAATAAGAACCCAGATATCACATTTCAAGAAATCTTAAAAGAAAACTGCCTGCATAATCTGAGAGCAAAGTAGAAACAGAAAGAATTTACTGGTTACCTCCTAAAAGATGCCCAGTTGAAAACTATCAGGAACATAATAGCCACTAAATAAAAAGGCAGATTTTTGCTGATTGGATTTAATTTTTTAAATGACTAGTTTAATTTACTAAGAAGCAAACTCAAATATTTGGTTGTAATTATTACATATGACAAAGAATGAAAGACTGAGTGATCAAGAAACTTGCACAACTATTAAGTGAGAGGATAAAGAGAAGAAATGATAACCAGAACAATTTTAGGCTAAATGTGCCCTAACACTTGTTCTCTGTGCCAGTAAGTCTAGGTAAACTCTTCTCATTTTTATTATTATCTTTTAAAGTGTTTACATATCTTCTCTTTCTAAAACCTTTGAGCTCCTTGAGGTCAGGGCTTTGCTTTTTATCTTTGAATTTCCGTCAGTTTTCAGCATAGGGCTTTGGCACATAGCAAGAGTGCTCAAGAAATGTTTGCTAAATTGAACCAAAAAAAAAAAAATCAGGTACAAAAATCTTATTCCAATGTTATTTTGCAGCATGATGTAGAGAAAAGAAAGCAGGATTTATAATCAGAAGACCTGGGTTCAAATCTGAGTTCAGAGAGTTATTAGCTCCAACTATTGCCTGATTTTAAAAGTCAAATCTATCTCTCCTTGGTTCAGTGTATTTTGCAACCAAAATCAGATTAATTTTCCTAAAACACATATTATTAGATTGTTCAAAGTCATTCAATGACTTCTCACTATCTAAAAGATGAGATCCCGAGTTTTTTATCTTATATTCAAGACCATCAGACTCTTAAATACTTACCTTCCCCATTATTCCCTTACATGAACCCACTGCTTTGACCAAACTCATATACTTACTGTGTGATTGGGATCGACATCAAACCTACCCACTTCCTGTCCTATAATACTTATAGTAAGTATTTTCATAAAATGCCAAGAATTTGGTATGTTTTCACTGAGGAACAGTGAGGGATAAAACACTATGGGCTTTCAGAAATTTGAGGGCAGGGACTACTTTTTATTTGTTTATTACTTTTCTTTGTATCTTCAGCACTTAGCACAGTGCCTAGAACACTGTAGGTATTAAAAAAATGCTTACTGACTTGAATTGACTTTATTGGAGTGGTCCAGATGGTAGGGAGTCCAGAAAAGTTATGCGAGAAGTAGTGACTTTTCATGGTAGATACTCAATGAATATTTATTTAAAATCAAAATTTATTGGAAAGCTGGCTATATAAATTAATTCTCAAAAGATATTTTATAAAACTTAACTGAGGAGGGTTAACACTGTAAATTAAAGGTTTAAAAAGCAGAAACAGCATCACATATTGTCATGAACTTCATTATGATCTGACCTTTACTTAAAAATGAAACCTTTCACTTACATTTTTGTGATTAACACATTTCATAAGAACAAGCTCTCTATAAGCACGCTTGGCATGAGTCTGATTCTGAAATGGTCGGCTTAACTTCTTGATTGCAACATTTCTTTCAAGAATGGCATCATAAGCTGCACTGTAATTAAAAACAAAACACGAGAAAATTTTAGGAAAAGAAAACTTACAAGTCCATAGACATGAATACATATCAATCTTTTTTGGCTAAAAAAATAATCATACGCTTACAACTTTCCTGGTATGTGTTATATAGATGTGTTCCTCTTCTTCCTGTCAATTCCCACCCCCCCGAAAAAAAAAAATAAAACAAAACAATCTTATAGTTTATAAGACCCTTGGAAAATATCTGAGAGTTAAGCTAAATGCTTTCTGCCAGTTATTTTTAACTAAAACTTTGCCTGCCAGTGAAATGGAGGAATTTTCCTTAAATTACAAAGTACAAAGAAGTACTAGCATTATTTGGATGCACCCCACAAAAATATTCTTTTCAGTTTTGAAAATGCTAAATTTAAGTATAAAAAGATTAACTGACTTGTCTAAAATATCTTAGACAAAGATATTAAGGTCTATGCCTCCTGTGAAGTCCTATAGCATATACTGTCTATATCATTATTTTATCCAAGAGTATGGTTTGGAAGTTAATTTTCAAATGCCAAAATCTGAGATCTTTCATTATGAAGTTTTACATACCCATTTGGGGGGGGGGGGGGGGTGAGAGTGAGTGAGTGAGAGAGTGAGTGAGAGAGAGAGAGAGAGAGAATGTGTGTGTGTGTGTGTGTATTTTTTTGTTTTTACTATAAGCCGAGAGGCAATAAGGCATGAACTTCGAAGCAGAAGACATGGGTTTGGGTTACTGCTTTGTCATTTACTAGCTCTGTAACCTTGGGTAAAATTGCTTGACCACTTTAGGCTTCAGTTTCCTTTTATCTGTAAAATGAGGACAATAATCATTACAGTACCTATCCTACCAATTTGTTATAAAGAAAACACTTTGGAAACTTTAAGGATCAACAGAAATGTGACCTAGGCATGTATTTTTCACATTGGCAACTAGGTGGTACAGTGGACAGAGCACTGGGCCTGAGACACTTATTAGCCGGTGTGACCCCAGGCCAGTCACTTATCCTTTATTTGCCTCAGTTTCCTCAACTCTAAAATGGGGATAACAGTAGCATCTACCTTGCAGGGTTGTTGTGAGGATTAATTGAGTGGTATATATAAAGCTCATAGCAAAGTATGTGGCATATCCCAGGCAAGTCACTTATCCTTTATTTGCCTCCGTTTCCTCAGTTCTAAAATGAGGACAACAGTGGCATCTACCTTGCAGGGTTGTTGTGAGGATTAATTGAGATGTATATATAAAGCTCTTAGCAAAGTGCATGGCATATAGCAATAATATAAATACTTATTCCCTTTCCTTTCCCCTGTTTCCAAAATTTATTTATTTTGAGATTAAAGTAAAACATGTTGTTTAAGTGCCACCTGGTTATGAATTATAATAGACATAGCACCTGAATTGGGTATTGGAAGCCCTTTGTAGGAGATGGGAGTCTGCTTCTACTTGTAACTTCTGTGACCTCAGATAAACTACTCAGTCTCTCTGAGTATGTTTCCTACTCCGTAAAAGTAGTGAGGGTTTGTTTCTTCTAGCTCTAACCTCAGTTAATGCAGTATAAGACTGATAACAATCAACTAAAATTAATTTCTCTTTGAGTGTGGAGTGGAATGCTATTTTATTACAGCAGGTTTATCTTCCAAAACAAGTTTCGCTTCATCTAATCAATATTATTTTAATAAATTAATTCTGGTACCATAAGCACAGACTGAGTAAAGGCAGTCTAATACTAAAAACTGGTTGTCATCTAAAAGTTGATTAGATAGAAAAAGCCAGCATGAAACTGAAAATACATTTAGAATGATTATTTTTCATTTACTGACTTAAAAAGGCCTCTTAACCATCATATACCTTTGCATACTACCATAACAAGGTATGTTTGTCTACATAATAAACTTCTTTATTCTTTCACATGTGTGTAATGAGTTTAGGGCTATGCAACATGAATGACTCTCTTTTGCTCTTCTCAATGGCTTTACTTATCCTCTTTCCTTCATTTCTCCAGGCAAAGAGGATGAAGGGGCACAATTTCTTGCTAAAGATAGCCTGTCAACTTGTACTCAATACCATTTCCTCCAGTTTCTTCCAGGTCTTTACAGTTCATCAATCATACCTTCCTTCTTAGGCATTTTCAATATCTACACTGACTTTTAAATGAATAAATAAAAAGGAAAAGTTCACCTTGCTATTTTTTCTAGTTATCATCTTCTTTCTTTCTTCTCCAGCAACAAATTTCTAGAATGAGCATCTTCACTGCCTATTTTCTCAACTCCTTGCAATCTGGCTTCTGTCCTCACCATTTTAACAAAATAGCTCTCTCAAAGGTCATTAATAATGTCATTATCATCATATCCAATGTCCTTTTAAATGTCCTTATCCTCATTTACCTTGCTGTGTAGGTATTTAATGCTATGGACCATCTATTTCTTGATATTCCAGCATCCTTTGGCTTCCATGACACTCATTTCATGGTTTTTCTCTTGCCTCTCTGTGACTACTCCCTCTTCTCACTCTTTAAATATAAATGCTCCTTAAGTTTCTATCCCAGACTCTAATTTCTCTCCAATATTCTCCCTTAATAATCTATTAAAACATCACCTCTATGCAGATAACTTCCCCAAACTCCAACTAAACTCTCCCCAGAGTGCCAGACCTATATTTCCAACTGTCTGAGGTCTATTTTCACTTGGCTATCCCGTCACATCAAAGTGAATAGGTCTAAGACCAAACGTAACTTTCCCTTCCAAATATACTCTGCTCCAAACTTTTCTAATCAATTACTGGCACTATTCTACAAAGTCACTCAAGCACATAACTCTGATATAATATTTGATACCTTCCTTCTTCCCTCATACCACATACTAATCAACTACCATGCCATGTTGGTTCCAAACCACAATATCTCACATCCTTCCTATCTTCTATACTTCTGTAACAACTCTGATTTGGGCTCTCATTTCTCTGAATTCTACTAATACATTCTACCACACCCTCTCCCCAACCCTCGGGGCAAAAAAACCCCCCAAAAGTCATTTACTTGACACTTGGTGCCTGTCACTTCAGATGTGCATAACTAATAGACTAGTAAAAAAATTTTGATATTTTGTTTAGCTTGGAATGGGCATTAATTTTTGCACCTACAAGCAAAAACGCTAATTCCTAAATACATGCTTTTTTATATATACAGCTGGGCTTGAATTCATGGTGCCAAACTGATGATTAGGTAGAATTTTTTATTTAAAAAGATTTGCTAATGTATAAGCAGAACTCATGAATTTGCTAATTGTTCTTTCTGGCAAAAGACACATGGTTAAGTGTAACAAACCAAAGGGTTCTAAGGATCTAATAACCTTCATGTTTAAAGATGGAATTGCTGAAGCCATAAATCACCTTGAGTTCCTTGGAGGAAAAGCATTCTTTTGGCAAAAAGTGGTAATTACAATGACCTCTTGTTAATTCTTTTTCATTCGTAACATAAAAATAATAGCACACGATCAATTCCTAGACAGTAGGAGCTTACTCTACGGCAGCTTTGGATGTGTTCTCCTGAGGAAGTTTAAAATTTACCAAGATATGAGGAAATACAGATGCGGTGCTACTGATCTTTAGTTATTTTTAAAAGCAATACTTACCACACTATTCCCTGGGCCCCTGAGCCTATAGGTTTTAAATTCTGATACCGTTTCAGTACAGTAAATGTAGAATCTCCAATCTCAACACTATAGAAATTACTGTCACGCTTGCTTCTGCTCATGATGGCAAATAATTAATTTGATGGCTTCATCCAAAATTTACTCAGAAGCTGTAAAAACAAAATAAAAAGTGACATTTACAAAGTAGTAATTAACCTGTTAATTGTATAATCTTAAGATGGACAAAGAAGCATCTAATCAATTACAGTAAGAATATATATAAAAACGTAAACAGACTTTCAATGAAAATTTTAATGAGACAAAGAAAAAAAAAGCAAAGGATTATATATACGAAGCATTATTTCCCCTTCCCCCTCAACCACTTAGTGGTATTTTGTAGATTAACGATTTCTCTGCTTGGTTAAACATATTTAGCAAAATAATTTCTTTATTCTAGAACTTACTAATGCATTCCCCGAGATTTAAATTCAATATTAAAATATATAAATATATTTAAGCTACATACTAAAAAGTCATATTCTAAAGTCTAAGTATCTGTGATTTTGTTGGCGAGAGGTATTCTCTTCATTGATAAAAATGATTCTCTACGTTAACAAAAACAAAAAAATTCATCACTTGGCAGCCAACCTAATGATAAGTCTCTCTGAATTTAGCTGGACTGCTCTTTAAGTGACAGATACAGACTATCACTGGGTTTGTATTAAAAGCCTTTCTAGCTTGGTAGACCTCATGAGGACTTCAAGATGAAAAAAAATGCAGTGATTTTATAATTAACCTGGAGCATTAAAACTAATTTAATTTATTAAAAAAAAATAAGTGACTACTACTTGCAAAGAAGTATGCTAGGTACCTCAGACACAAAAGAAAAATGAAATTGCCTCTGTCTTAAAAAAAATTTACATTTTACTGTTAGAATAATAGCCAGTACAATATTAATTATATGCAAAATTAAGAAAAATTTCAAGAGAGCAAGTCCAGACGTTCTGGAAAGCAAATTGGCACTGACCAAAGAGTTACTAAGGGGTGCGTACCCTTTGACCTGCCTATATCATTAATTGAATACACTCCAATGAGATCAAGAAAAGATGAAGGGTTACTAAATGTAGAAAAACATTTTTAGCAGCTGTGTTTTTTATATGAGACCCAACATGGAAATTAAGGGGGGCACGAAGTGACTGGAGAATGGCTGAACAAATTGTGGTATATGAATTTAATGGACTATAACTATGCCATAAGAAATAATAAAATGGAATCTTTCAGAGGAAACTGGGAAGACCTCTATGATTTGATATAGTAAAGTGAGAAGAACCAGGAAAACAATTTACACAAAGGACATTATAACAAACAAACAAAACTTTCAAAGACTTAAGAACTCTGATTAATGCAAGAAGAATCAGACTGCCAACATCCTTCCACAGAAGTGATGAACATGAATACAGACTGAAACATGAATAATCACACAAGGACAATTCAGGAACTTGTTTTTGCTGATCTATGTGTATTTTGAGGGCTGTTTGTTGTTCTACTGGAGGCACAGCAGGAAGAAGCAATAAATGCCTGTAAAATAATTTTTAAAATAAAATTTTGTTGATATAATTCTTTTCTCACCAAAATTTCCCCGACTATCTCCCCTCTTCAACTCTCCCAAAGAACCATCTCACATACCAAATAAAATTTTTTTAAAGAGATAAAAGAAAAATGAGAAAAAATCAGCAAAATCAATATATTTTAAGAAGTCTGATTACACCTGTGGACTTCCCACCTCTGCAAAGGAAGGGACGAAATGGGAATGTCTTCTGATGATTCTTTGGAGCCATGCTTGTTCCTTGTAATTCTGCAACATTCACTTTTTACTGTTTTCTGGCTGTTCTGCTTACGTTGTTGGAGTCCCATTCTTTTCATGGCTCTGCTTACTTTACTCTCTATCAGTTTGTGTAGATCTTTCCAAGCTTCTCTACAGACAACATCATTTCTCACAGCACAATTATACACTATTACATTCATGTTTCATAATTGTTAAGCCATTTTTCTCAGTTGATGGGCATCTACCTTGTTTCCAATTCTTTGCTATCATAAAAAGTACTACTGTAAGTACTTTGGTATATATAAAAATTTTTTTCTTATCAACAGCCTCCTTGGAATATAAGTCTAGGAATGGCTCTGGGTCAAAGGGTACAAATATTTTAGTTACTTTTATTTGAATAGCATTCACTTTCTTTCCACAGTGGTTTCACTGATTTACAGCTCCACAAACAATGCATTAGTGTGCTTAATTTTCCCACAACCTTCAAATATTAACTATTCCCATTTTTTGGTCAGATTTGCCAATTTAAGTGATACGAGGTTTTACCCTCAGAGTTTTTTTGATTTGCATCTGTTATTAGTGATTTGGAGCATTCCTTCACATGGTTGTTAATAGCTTTTAATTTTTCTTTTGAGAACTGTTTGTTCATATCCTTTGACCATTTATCTATTGGTGATAGATACAGGCACCAAATTCCTTTCAGAGAAATCTGATAAAAAGTCTTTTTTTCCGCATCCATTGCTTTTCTTCTTTTCCTATTCCACACCGTCTCCTCTAGCAGACTGTCCCTTCTATTATCCCTACTTTCCCAATTATCTTCAATCTTTCCTTGTCTAGTGGCTGCTTCCCAACTGCCTATAACATGCTCATGTCTAGCCCATCCACAGACAAGTTCCTTATCTGACCCTTCCATATGTGCTATCATTTCACATCTTCTGCCTTTTGTGGCTAAAGTCCTTGAGAAGGCCATCTAAAATAGGTGCATTTACTTCTCTCATCTTCTCCAATCTGAATTGCAAAGTCATCATTCAATCAAAACTGCTCAAGTTAGCAAGGATCTCTTAATGGCCAGAAACCATAACCTTTTCTCAAGCCTCATTCTTCTTGTCCTCTGTAGCCTTTGACACAGCTGATCACTCTCTTCTCTCTAACTTTTTTGGGACAGTATTTTCTCCTATTTCTCCTCCTACATATTTGATCACTCCTTTTCAGTCTCCTTCACTGGACCTTCATCCAGGTCATGCCGAGTAACCATGCATGCCCTACAAGGCTCTGTCCTATCTTCTCTTCTCCCTTTATATTACTATCAGCTTCTATGGGTTTAATTATCACTTCTATGCTAACAATTCTCAAATCTACCTATCTTGCCCTAACTTCTCTGCTGACCTCTAATCTCACATCTCCAACTGGATGTCTTGTAGATATCTTAAAGTCAAGGTGTCCAAAATGGAACTCATCTTTCCCCCTACTTGGCTATCCACCTTTCAAACTTCTCTATTACTAGTGATGATACCATCATCCTTTCCGTCTTCCAGGTTCTATCAGGTTTCAATCTTGATTCCTCACTCTCATTCCCCATAATCAATCTGTTGCCAAGGCCCATCGATTTCACCTTAGTAACATCTCTTGTATATACTCCCACCTCTCCTCTGAAACCGTCACCACTCTAGAGCAGGCCCTCATTACCCCATGTCTAGACTACTGCAACTGCCTGCCGGTGGATATGCATTCCACAAGTCTCTGCCTACTCCAATTCACCATTCATTTAGCTACTAAAGTGATTTTTACTAAAATTTAGGTCTGATCAAGTCACCTCTCTATTCAACAAATTCCAGTGGCTCCCTATCACTTCCAGGATCAAATACAAAATGCTCTTTTTGGCATTCAAAACCTTTCATAACCTAGCCCCCTCCTATCTCTCTGGTTTTCTTATACCTTATTCCTCAACACATACTCTTTGATCCAGTGACATTAGCATCCTGGATGTCGCATCAACAAGACACTGAATCTGCTCTGGACTGTCCTCTATACCTGGAATGCTCTTCCCCTTCAACTCTGCCTACTGACTTCCCTAGCTTCCTTTAAGTCCCAACTTTTTTTTTGACCACCACCTCCCTCAATCTGCCCTCCCTTCTATCACCCCTCTCTTTTCTTTCCCTTTTTCCTTACTACTTCTTCCCTTCCTACTCTCTCCCTTTTCCCTCCCTTCCTACTTCCTATAGGGTAAGTTAGATTTCTATACCTGAGAATATTATTTACTCTTTGAACCAAATCTGATGACAGTAAGGTTCAAACAATGCTCATCTCCCTCCCTTCTTTCCTTCTTCTGTAATAGGTCTTTGTGCCTCCTCATGTGATGTAATTTACCCTTTTCTGCCTCTTCCTTTCCTCTTATCCCAGTACAACCCCTTTTCACCACCTAATTAGATTTTTTATCATCATATCAAAGTCAACTGATACCCACATCCTCTGTCTATGTATACTCCTTCTAAATGTTGTAATAAAGATACAGTTCTCAAGAGTTACCATCTTCTCTTGTAGGGATGGAAACAGTTTGCCCTTATTGAATAACATGTTCTTGGTTTGTTTGTTTTTTTATCTTTCTTGTTTACCTTTTAATGCCTCTCTTGAGTCTTGTATTTGAAGATCAAATTTTCTGTTGTGCTCTGGTCTTTTCATCAGGAAGGTTTGGAAGTCCCCTATTTCATTGAATGTCTGTCTCCTCCCCTGAAAAATTATGTCCAATTTTGTTGGGTAGTTGGTTCTTGGTTGTAATCCAAGCTCCTCTGCCTTACGGAATATTATATTCCAAGCCCTCTGATTTTTTAATGTAGAAGCTGCAAGGTCCTATGTAATCCTGACTTGTTTCCATGATATTTAAATTGTTTCCTTCTGGCTGCTTGCAGTACTTTCTCCTTGACCTGATAATTCTGGAGTTTGGCTTCAATATTCCTCAGCGTTTTCAATTTGGAATCTCTTCCAGGAGGTGATTGGTAGATTCTTTCAATGCACCTCAGGGCAGTTTTCCTTGATGATTTCTTGAAAGATGTTGTCCAGGCTCTTTTTTTTGATCATGGTTTTCAAGTAGATCAATAATTTTTAAATTGTCTCTTCTGTACCTGTTTTCCAGGTCGGTTGTTTTTACCAATAAGGTATTTTATGTTTTCTTCTATTTTGTGCATTTGTTTCTATTTGACTGATTCTTGATATCTCATAAAGTCATTAGCTTACAAATGACCCATTCTAATTTTTAACAAATTGTTCCCTTCTATAAGATTTTGTACCTCCTTTTGCATTTGACCCATTTTACTTTTTAAGGAGTTCTTCTCTTCATTGAGTTTTTGT